AACAATTGCTTATAAAAGAAGTTTATCAAAAAGTTTGTGAAAAAAATTATGAGAAAAAAAGAAGAAGAAGAATAGTGAAGGATAACGCGAACAGAAAGGAACTTGACATTTCAGCCTTTAAATTCCTTCAGATATAAGAATATATTCAGCCTACTGGACAGAATGATATAGTTACAGGAATTAAATACACTGACTGTTAGGCAAAAATAGAGTACAAGGATTTGACCAAACATAGAATCAATGAAGCCAAATCTGAAAACTAAACCAAACCATATATGCGAATACAATGCACCAGGTTTCATTACTGAAAAAATGTCAAATTCGATCACAAACTGATATCAGTTAGAGAAACACTGAAAACCAGGGAGTACTGGATAGCCGTTTCGTCCTAGTTTGGGACTCTTCACCAGTACGCATCCATGACTGTGGTGAGGATTGAACCCAAGACTACCAGGTTACAAGGTGAGCTCATTGACTACCCAGACACTGGGAAGGAATTCAATGATCTATGAATCCCAAATGCTACCAGTTTTCGATATATGTAGCGCGAACGCCAGACAGTGTTATCGGGGAGCGTTTGTCATCGCACCCTATCTGATCGATCAAATATGAAATTAATTAAATCCCTGTCAGTCAACATTAGAAAATTCGTCCTGTGCTCACTAGAAACTGACTACAGGATGAAGTTGCCTGAATTTTTAGAAAGAAGTCATAACCAGCTGGATCCATCAAGTAGACTGTGAGGTCAAATACTCCCTGATGACACTGACTGGTGATTGCTCTAAATATATCGCAGATTGGTAAACGTAAGATTTCAGGTCTCATTGGATTTCGTCCGAGTGACTGGATGGTCACTGAGCCCGCCTTGTAACCTGATAGTCTAGGGTTCAGTCCTCACTGCAGTCATGGATAAGTACTACTGAAGAGTTCAAAACCAGGACGAAACGGCTGTCTAATATTGACTTGCTTTAAATATTCTTCTAACTGACCAAACTTGAAATCAGCCAGATCCCTGCAAATTAAAATTTGAAAACTTGAAAAATTCTTAACTGTATTATTGGGGCGAAAACTGATGAACGTAATTTGTTTATGAAATCCACGTGAAACTTATTTCGACGAATTCAATCAGTAATTACCACAAGAAACTGGACATCTTCACCGTTTTTAAAAACAATGAATAAGGAAATCATTCAAGCTACTGTTTTTGCAATTTCCTTCCTTGAGTGAAACATATTGCTTCAGGCTTTCAGAGTTCCAGAACCTGTGGTGCTGATTTCATCATATGGGGTTGTCAGTCTCACTGTCAATCTTCCCCTTTTTCAGTGTTACCACTGGTTAGGAAGGATTTTGGAATATGTCTACTGGGAATCGGACCCTGTTCATGTGCATGGTTAGCAGACATTCTGCCGCTGAACCACCGATACACTGTTCAAACTTTAAAAGCTGTTTATTTTAATGTCAGAAAATTACCTTGATCGGTAAATGTTATCCTGAATGTAGCTATACTATTTTGATAAATCTGAAAAATTAGTTAACATGTAAATGTACCCTAACACAGTGCTGCGGACTTCATATATGCGGTGCTGATGAATACGAATATGTGCGAAATTCAGGTCCAGAAATTCGTGTTGATTAAACTCTAAACATTTATCACTGAGACAAAATGTGTTCTAAAGTGTATGTCACTCAACTTACCTACCACATTACATAATTAGCAAGTAGACTGTGATCAGCTTAAGTCTATGACAAGACAAATACAATGAGTTTACTCTCCGGAGAACAATTCGTGTACTTCGAATATAATCTCACGATAATGTGCAGCTTTCATGTATGTCGATTACAGTACATCTTTAGTTGACTTTAAGGACTTGCTTGACTTAACCAGTGAAGTTAAACCTGAAATTTTTAAAGGATAACGAAACCGTCCAGCACCTTTCATCACATTTCATTCTTATTTTGCACATTTTCAGTCACTGATTATATGAATTAACGTTTTTATTCCAGTGGGAAACAGAGATATAATCCACACCGCGGGTATTTTATTGTGCTTAGTACTTTGAATATGCCAGTCTTTCATATGAATACACATCTTTACTTAGACTGGAAACCGGTGCCTTGTATACTTGGAACTAATGGATACTAAGGTCTGAGGTTTTAATCGGATGGTGACTCGTCGTAATACATATTTCATCCTAGTTACCGACGTATTCAAACTCGCCTAACAGCATACACACCCACACACCCTTATTTGGTTCAGCTAAAACTTAAATATTGTGATGAAACTACAGAGATCGGAAGAAATATGAGTGTGTTTAAGATAGTTTCAACAAGCAATCCAGTTTAAAGTGAAGTCATCACAATAAAAATGAAATTAGGGTATTACACACTTGTCTAAATTTAGTCACACTAGAGGAAGAGATCAAAGGTTGCATTCACTTTAATAAATGTTTAATGCTAAAATATGCAAGTGAAATTTTGAGTTTTCTCGAATGAACCAAAACACCCCCCTTCATTTATTCAAACTAAGTGTGATAATTTGTGTTTTAATAAAATACGATTTTTCCCAAGATCTACGCATATAAGACTATGGAACTACGATTTTTTTGACAGTTATACACTCCAATAATATAGTAAGTATATAAAAGTGGAATGGAATCGTGTAAACAATTGGATGCTTCTACTGTTTCAGAAATAGCTTCTAAAGAATTCTGATATATGCCTTACTGTGACATTAATCTACCATAAAATAATTAATGTGCCATCTTAAAAGTGCTGAACAGCGTTGAGCGCAAAGTAATTTGGAAACTACTCGAGAACTACGGCGTACCCCAAATATTCATCAACCCTATTCAACAGCTGTACAACAACGGCGGCACATGTCAAGTGATCAACAACGGAAAACTCAGCCAGGCGGCGTTTGGAGTAAATACAGGAATCAGACAAGGGTGCTTATTATCACCAATGAATGATATTCCTAATTGTGGTGGACTGACTGGATTATGCGTCAGACAGTGAGTGGGAAACGAGAAGACAGGGATATCCTGGACCGACCGACGCGAAGACCCTAGAAGACCTGGATTTCGCGCGTGGATGATTTATGTTTGATGTCACACACACAAAATCGAAGACTTACAAGCGAAAACCGACAAACTGGTTGAAGAAGCAGCCGGCGAAGACAGGACTCCGGGTGGACATTGACAAGACGGAGGTTATGAAAATAACCAACCGACCAACAACAACAACGACAACAGCAACATCCAGCGCCAATCACCATCAACGGGAGGGATTTGAAAGAGGTTACTTCATTCACTCACCTATCTAGCATTGAGCATTGTCTCAACTACAGCCAGTCGGAACGGACGAGGATGTCAAATCGAGCGAGAATCGGGAAGGCGAGAAACACATTCATCAATCTGAAACCAATCTGGAAATCTTCGTCACTCAGCCAGCATCAACAACAAAATTCGGTCGGATTTTCAATACAAACAGCGTCAAGTCAGTCAGTTCTTCTATACGGAAGGGATCAGAAATTTGGCGGGGGTCGGGTCACAAAGAATATTTCCAACGGCCTGTTGCCGACCTTCATCAACAACTGTCTTCGCTCTATATTGAAGATCAATCAGATGGCCGGGCCGGAAAGAATCGCCAACAAGAAACTGTGGGCACTAACAAACAAAACAAGAACCAATCGCCAAGCAACAAATATGCAGGAGAAAGTGGAGATGGATAGAGATGGACACTCGCTGAGGAGGCCGGTTGGTGACATCGCGCGCGCGTCAGGCCATCACTCGAGTAGAACCAGGCCGAAAGGGAAGCGGCGAGTGGGACGTCGGTGCAGGGTGACATGGAGGAGATCGTGTGAAGAGGAGTTGAAACAGTGTGGACTAATATGGATGGATGCAGGTGAAAACTACAGCAGAAGACAGAAGTGGCAAGTGGAGATGTGCAGTTGAAGCCCTATGTTCCACTAGGAACCCAAGGGAGCAATAATAATAATTAAAAGTGCTGAAAACTATCTTTGAGTTGCTATCACTATGTAATGACACGGGAGAATAGTGCTAGTAAGCAGAATCTGTTGCTTTTTCACGATTCTTAAGTATATATTACATACAAAGTTAGTTCATTGATAGTATTCCGTTATTTCCAGTTACAGACTGGACAAATAACCGATTTCTATAACACAGTAACAGCCATATTAGGATATGGTAGAGTCTTTAGAATTTTTACAATGTAGTTTACACTTTCCATTCATTAGTGTATTTCACCTGTTTGCAAAACAATTCAAAAATTTATTCACAGTTTGTTTTAATTACCAGAGAAATGATGTATTAGCTTCTGAGGATTAACAGCTCATTTGTTATATTTGACAGCACCTAAAACTGCTGCACAACTGGTAAAATACTCTGGTTGTTTTTTTGTCTGTTTTAAACAATTTGTTAAGAATTCAGTAGACAGTTTTAAAAAAAATTTTGTAACAATGACTGAGTATCTTATATCATCACACCCACACAATTTACTGTTCCATTGTAATTGAATTAAGTCTTTGTTCAATGGTCTCACTAATTTAAACGAAATTCTATTGATCATTTAGCCGATTGTGCAGATTGATAGCTTGATCAATAGACAACACTATGTGGCTACAGTCACATAAATAAACAGACATATACACGTATGCATACAGACACGAGTGTTTGTATGCACTACAGATGAAATGTTTAGAAATTCATCCCATTATCATTCGCACACTAGTGAAATAATTGAGCAATAGCTTTGTCTCATAGTGTAATACAATCGAATAGTGAAAGACTATATATTCTTTGGTCGCTTAATTTAAATATGTCTCAAAATGGTCTAAAATGTGCGAAAGAATTATAAAGAAAACAGACAAACACATATATGTATTCAGTTCATGCACTTTTATAAACGGTGATAAATGGGTTTATAAAGTTCACACAGATACTATTAGTCTTAATTAAAGTGAATTAAATTACTGCATACATATGTCGACCGGAGCTTATCACCATGCTATCATCCTATCTCCTGCTGTATACGCAAGACAATGTTATCCCGAAAATGTAAGCAATGATTCATCCTACTGGAAACATGAAGATGCCGCTAGACATTTATCAAATCATGTTATGAATAAATACCCAAATCTAAATGTTTTATGCTTAAGTAATTCAACTTATCTAAAAAATGAACTATGGTCTAGTCCAACAAGAATAAATGCATGTCTCTTTTCACAAGCTAGTCGTATTGTTCTGTTTATACCAGATGATGGAAGTGAACATATCACCTATTTTACACGTCATTGTTTACAGCCACTGTTGTGTAATTCACGTGAAGAAGGTGGACGACCAGAATGGCATTCTAGATTTGTTGCTGTAGCTATCGGTAATGTACAAGTACCGAATCAATTGAATTCAGAAACACCATTTATAAATGTAATACGATTTCGTGAAATTGGATGGTTTCGTGACATTATGGGAATGATGTTGCTGGAAAGAGCAATTAAGGGTAAGTTATTTACTGTTATGTATACGTTTAGTTCTGTCCTACTATTTGCAGAAAATAATCCCAGATATATAGACTGTAGTTGACTAACTGTTCATTTGATTTTGAACATTTTTGTGAATGAAATGTGATAGTAAAGCCTCATCCTCATCTTCAGTTATAAACCTTAAAAGCAAACTTCAAATCCTTTAAGTAACTAAACAGTAATATTTTGGCACTATTGCCCCTAAGGATTTCGATTAGTTTTACCCTCGATTTCGTCAGGAAGTGACGTCAGTTAAAGAACCATTGAAAACAATCAGGATATAAACCGATGTTTCACTATAGTTCGAGACTGTTAAGTGGTCTGGTTCTCTATCGTTTTCAGTGATTTTGTAAATCATAATGTTTTTTCTTGTTGATGAAATCTGAATTGATATAATTGTCCAATCATCTTCCAATGATCTACAAAATTTCAAGGTTTAATGATAATATTTCCTGTTTATTGTTAGTTGATGTGAGAGGGGGACACGTTAAAGAAAGTTTCCTGTTAATGTTCTTCACGTGTTCAGCAAGTGTTTTTTTACCTAGGCCATGTTAAAAAATTAAGCATCACTGCATGTTACTTGATCACTTTTTATGAAACGAATTACTTTACACACGGTCAAAGAAATGCAAACCAAAAAAGTAATTTAACGACTTAGTATCATGTGCCTTATTACTACAAGAGAAAAAATTGTAATAGCTTCACAGAAATGGCTTAGAAGACATAATGTTTATAATTTCAATGACATTTTATTACCAGAAACAGGTTCTTACATACTAATTGATTTTAGGGATGATATCCAATCCATGGTATTCACGGATATTTGTTTTGTATGTATATTATTCGAATGTTTATATGATTTAAGGTTGGACTGCACGATTTTCTTAGTAATAATGTTTGTTAGTTCAGTGAATGATGACAGGAGTAGAAGTGGAAATAATAATAATAATAGAAGTAGTAGTAGCACCTTTTTATGAACTGGTTGCTAGATATTTAATTGGTGGGTGGTGACTAGCAGTGGAATCCAGGATGCGCATTTTGTCTTATTTGGAACTCGTCATCTGGATGCACCTGCATTTCTCAGTGAGTGATGATATTCCCACGGAGATAATTTAAGTAATATGTTGGTGAGATTTTCACTTTTAAAATACTAAATCCCAAGCAATATCAAAATTCTTGCCTCGAAGTAAAAGGTTTACAATATAACACGATTTTCACCACGAATATCGATTAAAAGCAAAAATGAAATAAATAGAATACAATAGAAATATATTCGGACGACTGAAATAATAATTGGAGACTGATGACAAATCGGTGATTTATGTCGTCGTTTCAAACTATCTAAAACCACTCGCAATCCAATCATTGTTCGTTATGGGAAACATGGGAGTGATGGATAATTGTTTCATCTCAGTCTGAAACTCCCCATCAGTACACACCCACCACCAGGGTTCGAAGCCAGGACCTCACCGCTACAGAGCAAGCTCATAGATCATTAAGCCACTGAGGCCTGACCGAATGGCCCACGAATTCGAATTTCTGCCAATTCAGGATATAGAGCGACCACTAGCCAATTTCATTGTTAATGGTCCCAATGGTTCTCTAACAGATCTCAGCTCATGCTGAAATCCTGTAACCAGTCAAATTAAATGCTTTCAAACCAACCCTCGAATATCAATCTGATGCTCACAAGCGACTGGTCCTATTCAGATAGGTAGTTACCTGGGTTCTAGTGAGAAGTCATGACCAGTGGGATACAGAAGATTGGGTGTTGGGACAAATACTCCCCGATAATATTTGCTAGTGATCACGGTATATCTTCAGGTGGCAGAATTCGGAATTCATGCTCAGCTGGATCGGGTCCCAGTTACTTAATGGTATGCGAACTTGCCTTGAAACTGGGAGGTCCTGGGTCCAAACCCCATTGATGCGTACTGACAAAGAGTCCCGGACTAGGTCGAAATGGCTGTCTAGTACTCCCAGTAGTAGATTTAATTAATTTTATGGAGGATAACTTGGGTTAGTAAAACATTAAAGGTGTAACTGAGACCTATTTAAGTTCATTTTTTCAAACGATGCATAGGCAAATATTACAGAATTAATGTTATTTGACTAAATACATTAATATACAAATTGAAACTAGTCATACTATACCCCTAATAGTTACATAAAATTATCATATAATATTCTCTGAACAATATCATTCGTTCCAGTCCATCTTCATATGGTATATAAGACGATTCGAAGCGATGTCTACCTTAAATGAAAAAAAAAACATTTTACGAATTAAATTTCTCTTAGTAAAAATTTGAGCATAATTTTACTTGAAATATTTCATTATTATTCGACCAACTATGTATGTTACTGAAGGATATCATCACTAATTTTTAATCTTAACATGAAATGAATTCAAAATAATATTAATAATCATACGAAATGCCTAATTAAATCACATGTATGATATACTCACGTGATGTAGAAATTATATCGTAAACTGAATCTAATTACGAGTAAAGTTAATCGATAAACTTATAAGGATAACGCTAAACCGTAATAATAGTTGATAGCATATAGTAATAATAACTATCATTTGTAATCGATATAGTAGTCAGAGAAAGACTCATAGAGAGAGAGATACAAAGTAGCATCAGTTCTAAAAGTGGTACTGAACTTAAAATCAAAATACAAAGTTGAGTAGCGAAAGAAACGATTTTTATAAAAAGTACTAAGAGTTATTTATGGTTTACTGAAATTCGTGTTATGTGTGTATCTAAATTGTAAACAGTATGATTACTAATGCTTGATAAAACTGACTTAAGTATCGTTCAGAGCATCTCATACTTAGTTAGTGTTAGATAATAAAATTATTTCTCTTAATTTAAGCTGATAAATAACCATAGATAAATTTGCCTTAGAAAATCAATTCACCGTCGATGAAGAAAATCTGTAGCCTAGATGGATGATTTTGGTATTTCTGCATTGTTTGAGCCGAATAGTTTAATTATTAACCTCTCAGTGTTTTCCTAGACAACATATTTAATGTGAACTTTGAAATGAACTGTTCAGTTGAGAGAACACGATAATACCTAAATTATTTCGTTGCTACCAGATGTAAACAAAGCCACCATATTTGTAAATTTTGTCAGCACCACAGTACTTGATTATTTCACTTGCTTAGATTGGCGATGCTGGATTGGATTGTTGGGCTAATGATCAATCAGTTTGTTTATGTTCACATTTATTTCCATAATCTTAAACATAAGCAGTTAGTTGTTTTAGCGATTTCTAAAAAATTATTTCGTCTGACTTTCTTACATTAAGAAGTTAAGGCACTTAGGCATTACCTAAACCTTCCTCTTACAGTTTGTCAACTCCTGCATCTTACCTATTGTTCTTCATTGTTCACCCTTATTTTTCTCCTGGATTGCTTAAAAAAGACTATGTCATACTTCGTAGAACTCTGAAGACTGTCAGTGGGGCGGTGGTATCCTATTAGGCCATATCGTTGACATTGTCATTGATAGGCACTTGATGTCATGCAACGAATTTGCCAAAGGAATTTTGTTAGACTGTTAGCATCCACTCTACCCGCAGCTCTAACCTTGTGTCTCCCCAGGTAAAACAAGAAGTCTTTTGAGAAGACTTTGTGCACGTACGTCCAACTACAAAAGTTCCACTATACCATATTTGGCACGTACATTATGTGATGAAACTAGTGTTAGGCATGGACTAACTAACCTTCTTTGCATTACTAAATAAACCATTTCCTCCACCCTTACAACATCAACTTTTATTGTTATTATACTTCGTATATTTATAATCCTGTAAATTTTTTGTTTTTATTTGTGTATTTTTTCATAAGTGTGAACATCATTTAAGCTGTGTTATAACTGTTAATTTTACATTTTCCCTGACCAAACTATATCAACAGAACATTAGATTCAATACTCTATAACATGCTAAGATTTTCAAACTGTTATAATATTACAATATTTAATACTCTCAACTCGTACTTCGAATATTTTTGACTTTATGTCGTAAATGTGGACAAATCTCCCTGGTAAATTTTTGTTTTAACTTTATTTATATTTTCAGTAAATCAGATGCAATATTGTGACAAATGCTGAGAATTCCATTCTGTATTATAAGTACCATTTTTGGAATAAAGTAGATTATTATTATTTCAAATTTCGATTGTATGGATTTGATTGAATTCAGGTTAGACTTCATGACGAACCGATATCGATTAGAGAAACTTACAAAACTAGAGAGTAGTAGACAGCTGCTTTTTCTGGTGTGGAATCATACATGTATGCACCTGAAGGGTCCTAGACGGAAATACAATAGCCATCCAGTACATCCTGGTGTTCAGGGGTTTTCAAACTGATATCAGTTTGCAATGAAACCTAATTTCAGCACAGCATCTTTTGTACAAATCGGTGATGATATGTATGAAGTGTTGAATTTGATTAGATGTATCATATTTAAATGAATTTTTCCTTAATAGCTGAAAGATTTTGGCGAACTGATACATGCTTTCATTTCTGATACGATTTGTTTTTAAAGAGAGTTTCTATTCTATCTTCAAGAACCAAGAACTTATCTGGTGCAATAATAGCTAAAACTGTAAAAAACACTAGGTTTCTGCTGATATAAGCCGTATAGTTTACTGCGTCCCATCAATCACTGTTGCATATTATCTGCTGAGATGCCCTTTCTTACTGTTTGTGTTTGACCTAACTATGAAGATGTTTTTGGTGACAACTCTTCAGAAAATAATTTGCCATCTAGGTAGAGGTTAACTAATTTAAACTACTCAGACAGTCCTGTAACTAGAGGATGGTGACAAAACTCAAAGCCTTTTGAATAAATTTAGTAAACATCTCAAACACATTTTCAGTACTATGAGGTGATTGATGTCACACTGTATGGTTCTCACCATTTACCGAAAAATACCCGTAAAGTTTGCAAAGTGATC